TGGCCGGGGGGGTGGGGGGGGGGGGCTGAGGGGGCTGTTGGCTCCTCAGTTCCCCTCACAAGGTGAACCTCTTTCTGGGGGCCGGCTGGAATGATTGCAATTGCTCCGTTGCCTGGAAGGGGACACCCCACAGGCCGAGCGCTCAGAGAATGGGGTGACCGGAGGAGCGGTGGCAAGGCCCTCGCCAGTAGCTCTGAGCAGCTCCCTCAGGACCCCTGAGGCCCACAGGGAGGGAGTCAGCTCTGGGCCCTTTCCCTCGGTTTTAGGGACATTTCCTGGCCCTCCCAGGCACTCCACCCCAACCTGCCAACTTCCTAGCGAGAACCTAGGGTGTGGGGCTGGGGATGGAGGGGCTGCTCACCGCTGGGGCGGGTGCGCTCAGCTCTGGGGGGAAAGGAGAAGACCGTCAGTCACAGCGGAGGGAGGGGGGAATGGAGAGAAACCACGGCTGGAAGAGTGCGGTAGCCTTGGGGCTCCTCTGAGGCTGTCCTCTGCGCCAGCACTGCAGTCCCGGTGCAAAGCCCCCCTCACCACGTGCCTCGCTTCACGACCCAGGTGTTACCTGGCTTGACCTCCCAACCCATTTGCCAGGCGTGGCTCCAAAGAACATTGGGCTGTTCCAAAAATCAGAACCGCTCAAGGTCATGAAGGTTTACCAACCACTGAGCACGTGCCTCGGGGCAGCTGTCTGACCTTGGGCAGGAGGAGGCTGCCCCTCCCGGGGCCGCTTTCAGACAGAAAGTGCTGGCCGAGGTCCCTCCCTGACGTCCAGGCTGTGGGGCCACAGGCCTGCGGCAGTGACCTTAGGGGAAAGTCTCTGGACAGTGGGGGCAATACTGCCATGAATAGAATCAGAGACTGACAGCCCATGGGCCCTTTGATGGGGGCTGGCACTCCTGTGTCTCCGCAGGGAGGGGCCCCCAGGCAGAGTAGGCCACCGTGGTGCCCCTCACCTGACCCGAGACCACGGCGGGCTCTGCTTCTGTGTGATCTCAGTTCAGGCAAAGCATTTCACGACTGGGACCTCAGTCTGGGACCTCAGTCTCCGCAGCTGCCTGCCTTAGCGGGTGGGCAGGTGAAAATGAGGGACAGCGCAGGGAGTGCAGTGACCAGGGCCAGCATGAGACCATGGGAAGGCAGCTAACTCTTCCCCTGTGGGGCCGGATCGCCCTTCTCAGGGCCCCGGAGAGAGAGAGGACATCCCCATTACCTCGCCTCCCAGAGGACTGGCCCTGCTTCATGGCCTCCCGCAGGCTCAGTGCTGCCATCCGCTGTGGACACAGGAGCGCGGAGGGAGAGCTGGTGGGTGGGGGTGGGAGGGGAAATCGAGGCATGGGGAGGGCAAGGTGCTGGGGCAATGTAGATCTGTGCAGCTGGAAGAACCCTGCGGCACCGAGTGAATAATGCACAGGGGGGCGGGGTGGGGGGTGCTCTTCCCTTTGCCTCCATGCTGAGGCTCTTTCTTTGTTGTCAATCTCTCCCTGTTTTCCTTTGGATTCCAATGAAGTATGTGCTGAAAGCGGCAGCTTTCACAGCCCGTAGCAGGATATCGAGAGCTGGCAGCTGATTGGCAGCTGAGCGGGGGTTTCTTCACTCTCCAGGCAGGGAGGGGTCCTCAGGCCCCGGGTCCAGGGAGGGGCGACAGAGCCTCTCTTGGCTCCTCCCCCTCACCCCCCACCCCTTCCCGGCTGAGTCCTGGGTGGTGCTGCCTGGGAGGATGGAAGGGCCAGGCAGGTGGGAGAAGCGACAGCTCACAGGGCCTGGGCTTCTGATGCACCTTATTTTTCAGGGGCCTCTGGGGTGCAGATGTGGGGGGGATCTTGCACAGGAGATGCCTCTTAGATTTGCCCACTGGGAAATGGTAGCCTGGGCTGGGGCGGGTGGGTGGAAAAGACACCCGGCATTGAATCTCTAGGCTTCTCCCATGTGGGTTCCCATTTCCCTCCCTCCCCACCTGGACTCTATTTCCTCCTCCCTCCCAGCTCCATGCTTTCCCGACAGCCCCATCTCCATGGCAACGGAAGGTGGCCAGCTTCCCTGCCCCCATCCGGCCCAGCCTGGAGAGGCGTGTGGGTGGGATGGCAGGGGGTTCTCCTGGCGCCCCTGCCCTTGCTCTGAGATTGCTGGTATCTCAGAATGGGGAACGCCAGGCCCCAGGGACCAAGTCAGGCCTCAGGCCTCCTGCTTTCCCATTGTTGCCTTGGTTACACTGTCCTCTCCTCCTCCCCTTCCCTCTCCCCCTCTCCTCTCCCTCCCCCTCCCCTCTCCCCTCCCCTTCCTTCTCCCCCTGTCCCTCTTCCTCTCCCTCTCCCCCTCCCTTTCCTTTTCCTCCTCTCCCTCTCCCTCTCCCCCAGCCAGCTGAGGCCTCCTCTCACTGCCCAACACAGATGGGGAAGAGGCCAGGCCTGCGCCTTCTCCCCCTGTGGGCACCCTCCTCCTGCCCTGCCCGGCCCCCCGTACTTTCTGCCTCCACTTCCCAGGCCTCACCCAGGTACAAAGATTCCTCCACGGTGCCAGGATGGCGGGCAGGGGCTAGATTCACAGGCAGAGCCTCACAGGGAGGCAGCTCATAGCTATTCTCCTCCTCTTCCTCCTGGGCCTTTGGGGCGGGGTGCTGAGCACAGGGCAGATGGAAGAGAGCACAGGGTGGGTGGCCCCTGCCGCCCCCACCCCAACCGCAGGCTCAGCAGCCGGACTTACCCTGGGACTCCAGGTCTCGGGGGCAGGCAGAGGGACATCTGTTCTCCAGGTCGGAGAGTCTGGACGGGAGACTGATGAGAGGGCCGCATCTCCCCCAGCCCACCCCCATTCCAGCACAATGACCTCCTCTCTCTCCCTGATATAATAAGCCACCTGCAGCTCCACAGTGGGCCTCAGTGCTCCACTCAGCTCAAAGGCCCATTCAGGGGGACCTTTTCACAGTGCAGCAGGGTGACGACAGAGGCATTTTGGAAACAAGGGCGCCTCCCAGCGAGCTGCCTGTTGCCCCTGGGCCAGTCCCCCACCCCAAGGCCTCCTGATCCTGACCAGGTGGCGGGGAGGCCGGGCCCTGGTGCCTTAGCGGTGCTGGACTGTCATGGCCACAGGTGGGGGAGAGGCCTCTCAGGGGAACTCAAATCCCAAGGGACCCTGTTCTGCTGAGCCCCTTTTGCCCACTGTGTCACTTACCTGCACATTGGAGGGGTGAAAGGGGTGGCTTCAACCTGCAATCAGACTGTAGTCAACTCTGCCCAAGGGGCCCTTGAGTTTTCATCAGCCAGACACTGCACAACTCCAAGACATTCACACCCATGACAGTGGATGGAGCCCCTGGAGTTGTATGACAGCAACTCGGGGCAGGGCAGCAGGGGTTAGAATCCGGGGGCAGAGCTAGTGCCCTGGGTACGTAGCTGGATGAGTTGGTGCCCAAGGGAAGCCGGTAGTAGGTGAGCCCTCGTGTTCACAGGGTGGTGGAGGTACAGGCATGGTCTGACCAGGTGGGTGGGGAGGGCTCAGGCACAACCAGCACAGCTCCAAGATGGCTGTGCCTGGGAAAGGGGTGGCGAGGTGGACACAAACGAGGAGCGAAGGAAAATGAGGAGCTGAGTACTCACCGGCGCTTGCTCTCCCTGAGCTTGTCCTGAAAAGAGGGGGGCAAGGGGGTGGTCAGTGCAGCTGGACGCCTCTCCCTCCCAGCGTCCTGGACCCCCAGGGGTGGGCAGGTCTGTGCACCTGGGGCTGCCCCCAACTAAGTCTCACCATGGCCAAGGTGAAGGAACTATGCTTCCCGGAAGCCCAGTCTCTGGCACAGATGTCCTGGGGACAGGGGCCCTATTGTTTCATCATTTGCATCTCATAAGCTCCTGGAAGGTGGGCCTGCTGTGGCTTCCAACCCCAGACCAGCTTCACCCCTGCCACTCCCAGGGCCCAGCCCAAGCTCCCCGACATGGCCTCCCCTAGCTATGGTCTCCAGCCCCTCTGCCCCACAGGAGGACGAGCTCTCTCTTCCAAAAGTGTTTTAAAAAGAGAGAGAAAAAGCTCTCCCCGCCATGCCCAGGCCTGGAAAGTTAGGCCAGGGTTCTAAGGCGTCCTACAGCTCTCTGATGCATTTCCCTCCTCCTGGGAGAGGCTCAAACTGCCCTGAGGTCAGCCAGACCAAGCCCTTTCCCAATTCACAGAAGACATGACATTGTGGGCAGATCCAATTAAAAACAGGAAACTGTCCTTGCAGACACTTTCCCCAGCCATCAACATTTTAATGTTCTTGTTTTTTTTTTGTAATTAATTTCAGAGAGAGGAAGGGAGAGGGAGAAAGGGATAGAAACAGCAATGGTGAGGAAGAATCATCCATCGGCTGCCTCCTGCATGGCCCCGACTGGGGAACGTGCAACCCTGGGCATGTGTCCTGACCAGGAGTGGAACTGTGACCTCCTGGTTACACAATCATTGAGCAATATTGGCTGGGCAATGTGGATTACTTTTTAGAATGTGTCTGTTACTTCATTTTTGTTTTGACAATATCTATTTCATTTTTTTTCAGTGCACCTGGCTTAAGCGGAGGTTAGTGAAAAGCTCAGGGATATGCACTCCTAATTTAATGTGACAGCTTCCTTTCCTGATGGACGTGTTTGTTCATTCAGTGGGTATTTATTGAACAGACACTGTTCCAGGTGCTGATGAAAACTAAACAGGCAGGCATGACATGTGCATTTCCTCAGCTTCCTGATGCAATGACTCGTTTTATCCCCGCTTTTCAGATGAGGAAACTCAGTGTCTGAGTCAGCTCGGGCTGCCATCACAAAACACCACAGACTTGTAGGTTTAAAATATTTTCTGTTCTGGAGGCTAGAAGTCCCAGATCAAGGTCATCAGGGTTGGTTTCTGGCGAGAGCTCGTCCTGGCTGGCAATTTCTTGCTGTGTCCTCACATGGCCTTTCCTCTGAGCATGCAAGAGGCTTCTCTGGTGTCATTTCCTCTTATAAGGACAGCAGTCCTATTGAATCACGCCTCGTCCCCATCACCTCGCTTAACCTCAAGGATGTTCCTGAAGGCCCTATCTCCGAACGCGGTCACATTGGGGGTTAGGGCGCCAACGTATGAATTTTGTGGGGACACATTTCAGTCCACAGCCCTGAGAGGCTGAGAAGTTGAGTGTTGAACATGGGATTCAACCCCAAGTTTTCCCAGCCCAGAGCCTGTATGCAAACAACTGAGCCATCCTGTACCTCATCGAGGATTGGGCACTGACCCAACTTTCCTGTGATGGACTTATACGCGTGGGAACTTGAGAGCCCCCCAAAGGAGCCCATGACTTCCAGGTGTGCTGTTACCTGCGTGAATCTTAGAACTTTGCCTTCTGAGAAGTGTTGGGGGTAAAAAGTCGGGCTGGAGCCTGGTGCCTAGTTCTGTTTAAACCAAGGAAGGAGGAAACACAGACCACGATCATGAATGTAAGACATTCCTGGGGCACTGTAACTTTCCTGTCTTTATTATTTGGGGACAGGCCTGGCTGTTGGCACAAAGGAGAAAGGAAGGCCATCTGCTTGCCTCTCTGGAGGCCATGATGCTGAGGGCACTGGAGAGAGAGCGCCAGGGTTGGCGCTGGCCAGCCTTCAGAGGGGAAGACGAGGTGATCCTGGGACCTGCAGGCCAAAGGGCACTGAGGTGGCTAACAGGGAGCCCATTTGGTGCAGTGGGAAAACTAAGAGAACAACAACAAAGACACAGCCCAGGCCTGGCGTCATGGGGTCTCCCCCCCGACCTTCGCTCCAGGTGGCCCTTGTTCTACATTTGGGCCATAAGGCAGGGGGCAACTGACCTCACCCAAAGGAGACCTCCTAGGGCAGTGGTCGGCAAACTGCGGCTCTCAAGCCACATGTGGCTCTTTGGCCCCTTGAGTGTGGCTCTTCCACAAAACACCATGTGCGGGCACGCATGTACAGTGTGATTGAAACTTCGTGGCACATGCGCAGAAGTCGGTATTTTGTGGAAGAGACACACTCAAGGGGCCAACGAGCTGCATGTGGCTCACGAACCGCAGTTTGCCGAGCCGCAGTAAGCCGGTATCTGTGTCTGGCACGTTGATCTGAGAAATTCCAGGGGTAGTCCATTATCTCATCACATGTCTGCATGTATCCGACCCTGGGCTCTCTTCGACCTAACATGCGAGCAGCAGTTTGCCGACCACTGTCCTAGGGGACCAGAGTCAGCAAGTCCAAGTCAGCAGGAGGCCTTCCCAGTCCATACTGCCTTCACCTGGGCCACATCCTCCCTCTCTTCGGGGCTTTGCATAGGCAAATGCAGGGCCTGTGTGAGCAAATGGGCCCAGGCAGAGGATGGAATCCATGTCATCTCCATGGGGTCACTGGCCTGGACAGGTGAGGGGGAAGGGAAAGGACGGAGTCCTGCCTCACGGCTTTGTGCCCGCAGGACCGCTTCTCGCTGATTGCACAGGCAGACCT